TCGTCTCAGAATTCCTAGCTTCCTCCCTGACACTTCCCCAGTCACTCTAGCTAATACTGCTTTCCCTGTATTATATTATATGCACACATAGATAATGTTTTCCTCCAATCAAATATAAGCACCCTGAGGAGAGATGATTCCCTTTTGTCTTTTAGCCCCAGAACTAAGCACAAAATCTGGTATTTAGTTGGTCCTTAACAAATGCTTTTGGATGAATGCAAAATTCAATACTTATAAATATACTACTGTTACATGACATACAGCCAAAAAGAACAACCTATTTATTATAAGGAGACTATCAGGAATGAATTTTAAGGGAAAAAAATAAAATATTCTGGAATTTTTAATAAGCTAAGGGCTCTGATTGATGATTTAAGCCAGAGCATCTATCATTAAATATTCACACAAAGAATTTAGCATTTTGGTCTCATATGTTTCCTCTTAAAAATGAGACCATTTTTACCAATCCCTGCTTTAACTTCTTTCTTCTATAGTTTACTGAAAAAAAATTCTTTTTTTGAAATCTGTCATTTAATAAAGTATTAAATGACTTATTCAACACAAATTCTGTCATTTCTCTGGGAAAAAAAAACCTATCTTTTTCTATACTCTACATCCTCTTAGGTTTCTGTATTTGTCATTATCATTCACTATGAACTTCCCACTACTCACCTCACTGCCTTTCCATTTATCCATCAGTCCACAAGGTTCTACCTCTTGCAATCCTTAGCCTAGCTTCCTGAGGGGCTGATTCACAGTCCCCTTTCAATGCATACTTTGAGCTCCTCAGCCTCTCTTTTAAAGTTTTACAATCCTGTCCCACTACAACTTGACTTTCCCTCCCATTGTTAATTGTGTAGCTCCTCCCAAATCTGGACTGCCTGGTTTAGTGTTTTCTTTCAGGTACCTTATTACGCTTGCAATTAGCCTTTCTATATATCAGATAGCATTCCTTCATTTCTTTCTTATTCCTGAAATTCCTTATTTCTTATTCCTGAAAAATTCTCCTATCCAATACCTAATCCAACAACTATTTCAAACCTAGCTGCTATTACCTTGGTATCCTTGTCTTAGAACTTCAAAGTGAGAACTCTGTCTATTTTCACTCCTAAAAACACCAATTACTTTCCTAATGTTCACAATAAGCTCTCTACTTCATTTGTTCCCTAGATTATAGAATCACTTTAATAAAGTTTTAAGTATCTATTTACAGCAAAAGGAAAATTCCAGGTACAAATGAAGAAGCGGAGGAAATTAAACCAGATATTCTCTGATGAACTCCAAATTCCTACCAGAACAATGGTCTATATAAGATTTTTAAAAAACTTAAGGTTTCAAAATAAGAACACTAGACAAAAGGACAAAATTTTGTAATTTTTTTCCTATACACAGGAAAAAAATCTGACAACTCAAATGCTTTCACCTGAAGCTATAGCAGACTGGAAACTAACAATTATTTTACTACTTTCAACAAAGTTAATCATGATGACTGAATATGGAATAGTTCTTTCCCAAAAGATGAGTTTTGAAAATTATTTTCATGCTCAAAGATGCCAACACAAACGATGTCTAGATGCCTCATTTGAACCAGCCTGAAAGCCCATTCAACGGCACTAACGTGAAATTTTCAAGATCATCATGAGATTTGTAGAGAGATGCGAGTTTTTGAAAGGGATGACTTATAACTATACCTTTAAGTCAAGAGTCTTATGCTCTTCAATTTCAACATCCTTAGTACTGCAGAATTCTTAAGAAGATATAAAAATACTAAGAAAACCTCAAACTAGTAAGTTCAATGATATTAAAATTAGTGGCACTAACAGAAAGAATACTAGACCAAGAGCTAGAATCAATTCCAAGTACTAGCTCTATCATTTATTAGCTGTGAATGGGCACCTTTCTATAAAATGGACATAATACTGCTTCCAACTGTTACCTCAAAGGGTTACTATCAAGAACATGATTTATAAAATCTATAGCTATATAAATATGAACTTGAATTAGTAACATTAGATATATTTTCTTCTGTAATCCACACCACTATCGTGATTCTTTCACTGTTTTCATTTCTTGTTTGGTTAGGCTGAACCCCAAAAGTTCACTTTTATATCACCCCAAGCATGTAAATCCCTTTCTCCATTAAATAACCTGCTGTTTCCAGCCCAAGAAAAGGTATAAATAATCCCAGACAAACGGTTTTTAAAGAAGGTGGGGGAAGTAAAAGCTTAAGCATTCTTAAAATATTTCCTCAAACCTGAGCTCAACAGTAAAATACTGACCTTGCTGAAACAAACAGCAGATTGTATTACGTATCTGTGCTTATGCCAGCATTCATTTAGTTCAGGTTATTAACTTGGTCTCTTCTGGAGGCCCAACAGGTTCAAACAGTCAATAAGATACTAATCCATACACTGGCACTGCAGAGAGGACGTGCTATCTTTTCCCTGGCTGAACTTTCCTAAAGGTATTATTGACAAATGGTGGCCCCTCAACAATTTCTGCTATGTTTTTTGTTCTGATTTATTGCCACACTTCATCCACATATACCCCCAAACCTATCATGTACTGCCTTTAAAAACAGATGACAGGTTTATTCACATTATTTTCTAACTGCAGTTACCAGATAACAAACACTAGATTCATGTACTCCTATAGGTGTAGAATCTTAAGTACTTTTGGGTACTTAGCAACTTTTGACTACTAAGAAATTACAGAAAATAACCCTTTATCTGAAAATCCATCAAGGCACTGCTCAACTACTAAAAAAGAAAGGACTTGTGAGTTCCTCCTGGCAGCCTCCATTTGAAAAAGTGGGAAAGTCAACCAGCTCACTCCTTTGTTCCTCTCCCAGCTCAGGTCTTGAATCTAAGGTCCAGGTCTGACACTGACTACCCATGTGACCCTGAGCAAGTCATTTAACTCCTCAGTGTCTCCAGCCAAAGCTCCTTTTCATTTTTAGCCTATTGAGCATTTACTACAGAGCAAGGCATTGTGGTAGGTACTGAGGATAAAGAACAAAAATATGAAGTAATCTTTGTCCTCAAGGTGACTGACTCTATTCTACCAGGGAAGCACAATACATACACAGCTATGCATTTACATAATGTGAGGAGAAGGCGCAAGCTTACAACTAGAGGAATCAAGAGAGGCTTCCTGTAAGAAGCAGAAGCAAGGAAGGGGATGAGAGAAAAGAAGGCATCAAGCTTCCATCTGAAAACTTCTAATGATAAAGAATTCACCATCTCCCAAAGCCGTCTACCCTACTTTTGGATAGCTCTAATGGTTAAAAAAGTTTAATCTAATATTGAGCTAAAATCTGCCTCTCTGCAACTTCCAGGTGCTCCTGGTTCTGTTTTCTGGGGCCAAGCAGCATGTTTAATTCCTTGTCATGTAAACATGACAATCCTTCAGATACTTGAAGGCTAAGGTCACAAAGACATTACAACATAGGCTATCTATCCTTCAAGCCTGTAACACACGTTGTTTTCCTCTCTGCCCCTTATCTTATTTCCTTCAAATCTCAACTCAAACATTGAACTCCTACACAAACTCCTCCAGATTTTCCTGATTCTCCCCCACCCCAGCTGCTAATGCCTCCCCCAACCCTTCAAAAATAGACTGCATTTATTTTACATATAGCTATACATTTACATGCTGTCTCTTCCACTAGAATGTAAACCTCCTTTCGGGCAGGGACTACTTCAGTTTTGTCTTTATATCCCCAATGCCCTGAATACTGCCTGTCACACAACAGGCACTTAATAAATGCTTGCTGATTGACTGATGGTTTCCATTCCTTCTACTATTCTGGCCATCTTCACTGTTAAATCACTACTATGATTCAAGATATTCCCTCAGACTAACCAAAATATTCACTTCACTATTCTAAGCCCATTTCATTTTATCATGTCTTCTGTTTTCACTGGGCTTTCCTGATCCTTCTGCTCTCTACGTGTACGACTAAGGTTAACTGCAGAACTGGCACTTCCTCCTTGTATCCCCCACTAGTCCTCCAGTTCTGCACTAAGTCTGAGCTAAAATATTAACAGGATCTATGATGTCATCAATGTGGGTATTCCCTCCAACAACAGTGCTCACATCCCCTCTTAACACAGTATTATTATGAGTATTTTTACTTCCTGGACAACTTCTGAAAAGGAGAAGTAACAAGACTACGTTTTAAATCAGTAAGATCTTATTAAAGTATAAAGGAAACATCAAAAACACAAAAACAATTTAAGTTCAAGTACTGAAGAATTTTGTTTCCAGGTATTTTTAAATGCAGAACTATGATCATACAACTAAAGCTAATTCCACATTATTTTACAAGGAACTCTAAGGTGTTATGATTGATATTAACCACATTAGGTAAAATAATGACTGATAATCTTATACAGGAAAATCTTCACTGGTGTAAAAGGCAATACCAAAGAAACTTTAAGATGAACCACTCAAGAGATTTTAAAAACATAACCACTTAAGGTAATTTTAAACCTGCCAGATAATCCTGCATCTTGAAAATAATGTTGGTACTATATATAATACATCACGATAATCTATCATATCTGATTGATGTCACTTATTCAGATAAAATTATTTCACCTTTAATTATGAACATTTGTATTCTGAACAATGAAATTCATTCATTTCCTTACTTGTAGGTCAAGTATAAAAGTTGAGTAATATCCTACCACATTTTTGCTGATAAATTTAAGCCTCAACTTTTCCACATTGTGACCTAACCAGCTCTAAGTTTTTAATGACAACATATGTCTCCTTTCTGGACTTAATTCCCAGTAAGCACTTTTTCTAGGTAAAACAGGGCTAAAAAGGCAAAGTCCAAAATTAGCCACTAACACCATAGCAGTTCTCATAATCAACAGCACTCTCTTCCTTCAATGTCTTACCCTTGGATGAAAATGCATTTATTTGAGATATCATACTGGTTAAATACTGAAACTACTTAGAGTTGTGACTAAGAAGATTATAAATATTGTTACCGGAAGAGTGAAGAAAGCAGGATGCTTAGATTCATCTTCATATTTGCCCTCAGTAGAGCTTCCAGTTTCTACTGACTTTGATGTGGTGTTTTTGCCAATACCCATTATTAAGAGAAAAAAAATGTTTGCAGAGCAGCCTGGTTCCAGGGGATAGGACTGTAGGGTAACTATATGAGGAATGTGATATATTCAAAGAGCAGCTCTTCCAAAGTCTGAAGCATTAAGTCCTCAGAGAAGCATCTCATTCCATTAGCACTACTTCTTAGGACCTAGAAGAGGGGAGGAAAGAAGTCAAATGAATTCTAACAAATAAGCAGAAACATTAAGTAGATCAGTACTTCAGAAAATAAAAATTGCATGTTATATGTACTTAGAAAAGTGCCTCTAAATAACACGTTGTTGTGGAAATGTAATGGAGAAACTCTTTACACCATGACAGTAATGGAGGGAAAACAATGGCATAGATAACTCAAAACAGCAAATAAGTGAAAAATCATGTATTTTGCTTTGTTGTTACCTCATCTTGACAATTATATTTGATATAGCCTAATATTAAAACTACTCTACAATAAAACTACACAAACACAGCAATATTCAGCCAGGCAAGGGACATGCTAAAATCTTGTTCTTCCTGATTTCTCAATCTGTCAAAAAAGAAGCCCCATTTTTCCAGGAAGTGAAATTAATAACTTCAAGAGTCATTGAGGGACTCTATGGAAGGCTCTGAATTCAGAGGATCTCAGTTCATATCTTTCTTCTGATGGTTACTATCTGGGTTACCTTAGGCAAGTCACTTCAGCTCTCTCTGTTTCCTCATCTGTAAAATGAAGGGCTGCATGAGACGGCCTCTGAAGTCTCTTGAAGCTCTAAAACAATGACCTTATGATCTTCAGCTTCTCCTTGTGACCCCAAACATTCAATCAATTATCAAGTCCTATTGATTCGCTCTGAAATCTCTCTCTCTCTCTCTCGTCCCTTTAACGCTTCCCACTACCACTGTCCTGTTCAGACTCTCTCTACCTCTTGTATGGACTTACCGAAACAGTCTCCTCACCAGCTTCCCCTGACTACCTCAGTCTCACTTCATCCCAGTCCACTCTGCATACTCCCTCTACCCGACTGATCTCCTGATACATTGATATGATCTCCATTACTTTTCTAATCAAAAATAAAAACTAAACTCCTTAGTCTCATATTCAAGGTCAGAAATACTCTAGAATACCACAGACTTAAATATTTATCTATTTGAAAGCCCTCCACAACATACTTCAACCTTCCTTCTAGCCCGACCTCACATATTTCCTCTTACATACTCTATTTTCCAGTCAAACTGGACACCCATGAAACACCTCCTATGCTTTTTTCTACCTCCACAACACTTTTGTTCAGATCGTTCCCAAACCCCAGGAATGGTCTCTACCAGCTGAAATCTGATTTATCCTTCAATGCTTAGTTCAAGTGCTAACACCTCTATTAAGCCACCCCTCATAAAAGTGATTCTAGCTTACATCCAGTCAATTACTAGCTGTGTGACCCTGAGCAAGTCACTTAAGCTCTGTCTGCCTCATAACAGCACCTACTACCTTGAAGAATTACTGTGAGGATCAAATGAGATACTTGTAAAGCACTTAGCACTATTAGTAGGCCCTATATAAATGCTTATGCCCTTCCCTTTGTACCATCTAAGGGGTCTGAGACCTTGAATGGCTCATAACCTGAATAACAATATTCACAGATTAGAAAGGATCTGAAACTGAAAATGACCCATTCATAGTTTATAAACTTTATGAGTGAGCATTTACATTTCATGCTCTTTTGGAAGGTATGAAGAAGTTCTTAAGACTGCCCATTAGCTGGTTAAAAGACCAGTCATAACTAGTAGTCTTTAAAAAGTAAGCTAGCCAATTCTTCAGACACCCTAAAAAAAGTCAGTGAAGACAGTGAGTGATGTCTGTAAGGCATGAAGATAGCAAGCTATGAAAGAAGAACTCAGCTTGACAGGGAGTCACTTGTGGGCTTTTTCCATGGGCTTCCTCCAGAATGCAGGGGTTGGGGGGAAGGAGATTTCTCTCTCCTCAACAGCGCCCTCTCCCAACAATGGCATCTTTCAGTAGAGCAACTGGCCCAGAAAGAGATGGTATACCCAGGAGATAATGTGCCCAAAGAGTCTGGTTGAGTAACCTACCCAACAAAAACCACAATCAGAGGAAGCAGGGCAAGGACACTGTGAGAAGAGAAAGGACTCCAAAGATGTGCGACACTACAGCACTGGAGGTGAGAACTGCTTTGGGCATGTGTGTTCCTCAGTGTACTATATATTTGTGTATACTCTTCTCACTCATGTTGAATTTTTCAGAGACTATACTCCAGGTCAATGGTGGCAATATTGCTATTACTATTGAAACTATTATCTTCATCATCAAAGAAATGTTCAACCAAAAAATAAAGTAAGCTGGTTATGTGGCAAGAGGAGCAGAAAACTGATGATAGCCCATTTACTGTCCAGAGGAGGCAAAAAAGGTCTCCAACACATTAGATTTACAATTTGAGGTGATTTTGTGAGAACGCATGGAAAGCAGCAGCACAGGTTATAGAGGCATAGACAGACTGCCATCTGTATCTTTGGAGGTAACATCCACATCAATGAAATCATAGTATTCTACTTAATATTCTTAGTAAAGAAAAATATTCATAACAATTAGCTATATCCGGAAATAAAATAGGCTGACTCAGAAGGTAATATATCCTCACTCCTTGGAGTAGTATATATAAGGAGATCAACAAGTAAAAGCTGAATATTCGCTGGTTATTTGTAGGATATATTCTTGCTCCAGTAAAGGTTGGGCCAAATGGCCAATAAGGTCCTTTCAAATTCCACAATTCTGTCATTTTGAGATTCATATGGCATTTATAATCTACAAAGAACCTTTCACATAACATTTGATCCTCACAACAACCCCATAAAATAGCTGTACGAATATTACTATTCGCACTTTACAAATGAGGTTATCAAGGCTTCATCTTGCCCAACATCATACAGTTAATTCAACTGAATAAATGTTTCAGTGGACATTGCTAGGTGTTAGGGATACAAAGACAAAGCAACAGAGTTCCTACCTTCATAGAGAATAGTAGTCCACTAGGGGAATGATAAGTTGGGTGAAATACATGTTCTATATAAATTTAATAATATAAGACAGGAAGTAAAAGGGGAAAAGGAGAGATCAAAATAAAGTGCTCTAGGAAAATTCTAAAGCATTTTCTGTCTTCAAATATTTGAAAGACTGTTACATGGAAAATAAGATATATACATGCATTTAGTAGAACCAGAATGCACAACTAGACCAATGGACAGAAATTAAAGGGAGGCAAAAGAATATCACCTCTATGTTCAAGAATTATGAAATTCTCTTACCTGACCATAATCTATTAGTTTTCACCTCTCACTCTGCCATCCCTTAAAAAGTCCTACTCTTCGTCCATACTCTGACCTCCAATCCCTTGACCCCTTAATTCTCTCCCAGGCCATCTCCCCTGCACTAGCCACTCTCTCCTCTTCTCTCCCTCTTAACTCCTTGGTGAATCAATTCAACTCTACATTGTCCTTCACTCTTGAATCCCAGTCCCCGTTATCCATCAATCACTCCCAATTAAGCCTCAGCCCTGGATCACTCCCACCATTCATCATATTCACTCCTACACACATGATGATGAATGAAAATGGAGAAAATCATGCAACTGTGTTACATAATCTCAATTGGGCCCTCAGGCAATCTTACTATACTTCCCTCATCAACTCACTATCCCACTCTGAACAGTGATTCTTCCAAACCTTTTCAGACCTCCTCAAACCTCCCAAGGCTGCCCCTGCCCTTCTCCCTCAACTGAGAACCTTGACTCATATTTTATGGAAAAAAACTGAGGCCATTCAATTAACTCCCTCTTCTCTCCTCTTCCTCATCTCTTATCACTCTGGTGCCTTCTGCCACTATCTCCTCCTTCATCCCTGTCTCACATGATAAAATGGCCTTATTCTTTACCAAGGCTAATCTCTCTACTTGTTCAAGGGATCCCATTCCATCCTGATTCCTCAAATAGGCTGTCTCCTCTCTGTCTTCCCCACTCTTTCACTTATTTTCAATCTCTCCCTCTCTATGGGCTCATTTCCTACTACATACAAACATGTCCATGTCTCCCCTATCCTGAAAAATACCCCACTTGATCCAATCCATTCCCAACTATCATCTGCCCTTTGTAGTTATACTCCTGAAAAAAGTCATCTACAATAAATCCCTCCAAAGGCCCTCTTACTCTCTTCTTAACCCCTTACACTCTGGCTTCTGACCTTATCATTCCACCAAAATTCCTATCTGCAAAGTTACTAAGGATCTCTTAGTTGCCAAATCCAATGGCCTTTTCTCAATCTTCCTTCTCCTTGACCTCTCAGTGCCTTTCAACACTATTAATCACTCTCTCCTCTATATTTTCTTCTCTCTTGGTTTTCAGGACCCTTCTCTCTCCTGATTCTCCTCCTACCTATCTGACCACACTCTCTCTGTCTCCTTTCCTGGATCTTCCTCCAGATCATGTCCTCTAACAGTAGGTGTCCTTCAAGGTTCTGCCCTGGACCCTCTTTCTCTTCTCCCACTATACTGCTTCATTTGGTAATCTCTCATCAGCTCCCATGGATTTAATTACCATCTCTATGCTGATGATTCTCAAATCTACCTTTCCTGCCCCGGCCTTTCTGCCGACCTCCAATATCAGATCTCCAACTGCCTTTCAGACATTTCAAACTGGACGTCCATTAGACATCTTAAACTCAATATGACCAAAACTAAACTCACTGTCTTTCCCTCAATCTGATTTGCTTCCTTCCCCCTTCTACCTTCCTTACTACTGTAAAGGGCCACACCATCTTTCCAGTCCTTCAACCTAGGTGTCACCCTTGACTCCTCATTATAGCTTATGCCCCATACTATCACTTACTCATCCCCATATCCAATCTGTTGCCAAGACCTGTTGATTTTACCTCTGCATCTCTCAAATATGACTCCTTCTCTCCTCTGATACTGCCACCACTCTAATCGCAAGCCCTCATCACCTCATGCCTGGACTACTGTAATAGCCTCATGGTGGGTCAGCCTGCCTCATGTCTCTCTCCCCCCAATATATCCTCCATTCAGCCACTATTTTTAAGTGATTTTCCTAAAACACAGGTCTTATTATATCACCCCTAGTACTCAATAAACTCCAGTGGTTCCTTATT